TTCTTCTTTTCTTTTTTTTTTTTTTTTTTTTTTTTTTTAATAAACCATCAAAATATAAGAAAGATAAAAATTTGAACAAAATATATAACAAAGAAGTTACTGTTTTATTTTATTTTGGTAGGAAGTGACTTTTGGCCCACCGTGTATTTACAAACGAAAACACTACTGCTTAATGGATGTCAAGATGAGAAATTACATTTCCTCGAAAATTTCAAATGTTGTATCGTGTAAACGATATAAAGCGATAAGAAAAAGGAAAGAACGCGTCCACGTGTTCTGCGTAGTATGAAACGTCGTACATACGATGTCGACAACGATGACGGTAGTAATGAAGTGGAGTATTTGTTTTCTAATGTATGCCACATTGTTATATACTGTGTGACTATAAAAATGGTAATGATAGAAAAGACGATTACGTATTCGCTCCTTTTTTTTTTTTTTCTTTATCGGCAACATGATGAATATGCTATATTCACAAGCTCAACGATGCAAGAGATTAACACAAATTATACAAAATGACAGATACTTGTTCGAATAAATATTAATTTAAAGGAACTTCGCATTAGTTTTTTGCAATGTCAATATTGATTTCTTTTCTGCATCATACAAATCTGTAATAATCTTTTTTTTAATTAACGGTTGCTAATTATTTTTTATGATTATTAATGATTGCTTTTGCACAGATATAAAATGAAGAATCGAATTAATCTGTTATTTATTATTATCACTAACTACATGAATATTATAATTAATGTGAGTAACACGAGAAAATAACACGTGCATAAGGTAAATTATTATCGGAGTAAAATTTTCCTACGTCCACTAATGATATAACTCGATATAGAATAACATGTTCGAATAGCTTCTGTTAATTTGATGGTACTTGAAAATGTATTAAAAGGAGATAATACATAATAATGAACTTTAATTAACAAACGTAGAACAATAAAAAGTCTGTAATATATTATCTTTCTTTTCAAACAACGTCAAACTGACATCCGTTTTTTTCGGAATTCTTCAATATATACACAATTCAATATATATACAAATCTTCAAATAAGATAAGACAGACTGACTGAAGATGAATATAACGACTCGAGGTGTGCTAATCCTTTTCTCCTCATTATCGAGGAGCAGCGATTTAAATTTTCTACGTGGCTAGCTTGCTCGTAAGATTCAATTGGGTATCATTTCCGCGAGAAACGTCAAAAGATGTTTACGATGAAGTGTCGAAACTGTGTGGGACTTGTTCTTGCAAGAATGCAACGTTTACGACGAGACTGATACGCAAGCAGGAATGAGCAAATGAGATGAATTTAATTAATCCAGAAAATAAATGCGACGCCGTAGCAGAAAGTACAAACAACAAAACGAATCATTTCATTCTCCGAGCAAAGTGAAGCCTGTTTCTCAGAATCCTTAGCAAACCTAACAAACATAATTTGAAAGATGTTCCGTTTGACTAAGTAATCCATTAAGAGAAAAAAAAAAAAAAAAGAAAAGAAAAGTCTCGAGAATATATAACGAAATAATCCACTAACAAAATCGTTACGACGAAAACGACTCGAAGGAAACACAGCTTTGATTTAAGAGAAGAAAATTCCTTATTATTCATTCGGCGAGCACAGATTTATCGGAATATTACCAAGCACATAAATTTTAAATAAGAAAAGCAAATCCAAGATGATTCCTCGTTCCTCTTGTATGTTAATTCTTACTAATAACTCTCGTCCCCGCGTCCAATCGAACGTTGGCAATCGTTTGGATTAACGGCACATTAATTTTTCGTCGTTTGTCAACGTGGATAAATAACTTGGTTAATTTCACTGGGTTAATTATGCAAACGATCCGCGAACCGTGATATCGGTGATAACCGTTATCGCTCGGAACAACTTGTCTACTGTGAAATCAGTTTGAATCGCGGCGATAAAACGCCTCGTGACCACGACGCTACCGGTTAGAACACAATACACATCTCTTTTGAAATTCCTCGTCGACAAAAATTACGTCAACGTCTAAAAACATCCGCAGCTTAACGCTCGTTCAATATTATTAACGTTCCGCGTTCAGTTCTGTCTGGGTGACGGGCGCTAGTAGCGACAGTGCTTGGAAATAACGAGTCTCGATCGATAAGTGTCTTCGATCACATCTGTTTGCACTCTGAGGAAAAGAAAAACTTCGAGCGCCCGTGGCATTCGACGAGGTAATTTTTTAATGACTGTTTTTCCAACCAGAGCTCCACTCACCTCGACTCGTGTAGCTGAAGTTCGCGTAATTGAAATTATTGACCATGATTTGACGGATGGGAAAATTTATGACATACTGTTGCAACAACTAGAATTTCATTTCGACAAATAGACTTGCGCCGCGGTCCCGTTCGCTCGTCAACTGTCGTTTTCTGACGCGAATATACGTGCCTTTTTTTAGACACGAACGATACGTTCTACTAACCGTTTATTATTAGCGATTGTGTAGATAGTAGTAGGTGCGCGTTTCGTTTCATTCAGAATAAAATGGATGGACCGATGATACTTACTATGCATGTGCATGTACAAAAGCCGGGCGAGTGAATGTCTACGCGGCACAAACAGAACTACGCAAACCTAATGGCACAATGGCGCTACAGTAATTCCATATTCCGGGCATTTGCGTGACAAACGTGCACGTCGATGCCGTTGGTGTCGGCCGAATAATAAAGAATCAGCACGGTAGTAGTAGTAGCAGTTCCAGTTCGCGTGATGAAAGAACATATGTTCCACGGGGACCCGGGTGTATTCAAATTCCCCGCCATTCAACCGAGAAAAGAAAAACGGGGCGGGGGAGAACAGGAAAAGAGAGAAAAATATATATCTCCTCGAGATTTCCTCGTTCGTATTTACGCGCGCAACGATGCATCGTGTGCCGTCGTAAACCTGATAACATTTAGGCTCGGAAAGATCGGAGCACGAACGTCGCTGTATGGGCTGTTAAAAATTCAAACTCCGCGTCGCGTACGTCAATTGCGCCGCGGAGATGACTCGCTCCGATCGAAATATCATCTATGAGAACTCCCATTGACGAACCGATTACCCGGTAAATTTTTACTGGCGAGAATCACGCACAGAGGGTGATGGACTCTCGGTGCAGCGGATTCGCGAAACCATCCGCGTTAGAAGGCACGAGAAGAGACGCGACAATGACAACACGCCGAAGAATGTCGCGTCGGCAGTAGGATGAATGAGGGAAAGCACTCACCTCCGGTGCAAAAACGTCAACAGCCGACGTGTTCTTCGAGCGGGATGCTTTTTCGCCTTCTCTTCGACGTTTCCCTGTCGCGTGGGCAGTCCGCCTCTAAGTAAACAAAAACAGACTTCAAATCGTCGATTCCCTTCCACGGGAGTTTCTCTGTTTCGCCCCCGTGTGATCACACTCGCGTGCTCCTATTTTTTTTTTTTTTTTCTTTTTCTTTTTCTTTCCGGCCAATAAGAGATAGTCGTCGAGAGAAGTAAATGCGGCAGCAGTAAACGCGACAACAGAGGAGGTGACAAAGATATAACGTCAGAGTCAAACGAAGAAAGAGAAGAGTAACGAGAAAGAGATGGAGAAAGAAAGTGAAAGAGAGAGAGAAAGAGAGAGAGAGAGTGAGAGAAGGGGAGAGGAGGGAACAAAAGGAAAGGGAAAGAAAAGAAAAGAAAAGAAAAGAAAGGAAAGGAATGAAAAAGAAACGACAAAGTCACGAGAAAAGTAGCTAGAGATAACGAGCACGAGTTTCCTGCACTTGAAAGAGTATTTGTACGAGATACGGGAATCTCACACGTCGTTCACCAGACACGAGAAATACTTTCGTCGAAACGAAAGTCTTTCGTCGGTTCACTGACGACTCGCTTCACTGGCCGTCGAGATGTCACGTCGTCGGCGAATCATCCACATGATCTGCCCGCGGCTTTTTGAACGTCCCTGCCCGTTCGAATCTCCAGGGTTCACTGGTTACAGTGGCTTTCCCCACCGAGGGAGCCCTCGTGAAAAAGCAAAACTTTTCTTCGGCTAGAGAGCTGATTCGTGGCTCTGTTTTGTGTTTGAAAGATGCGTGGCTGCATGCGTGGCGCGCGCGTGTGTGGCTCGAAGTCTCGCGACGAGGGAGATCGTCCTCCTCCTCCGGTGTGTGTTCCTGCTCAGGATCCGATCGAGCAGGCACTGACCCCACGAGACGACGTCGGAGCGAACGAGAGAGGGAGACAGAGACAGAGAGACAGAGACAGAAACAGAGACAGAGAGAGAGAGAGAGAGAGAGAGAGAGAGAGAGAGAGAGAATGACCGGAGGAAGCGTGTACGAAAGACGAACGAAGAAACCAGAGAAGGGGAGGAGAACAGAGAGCAAGAGGAAAGGAATCGAAGAAAGATGCGGTGGAAAATAGATAGAGAATGAACGGAGACAGAAAGAGAAAAAGAAAGAAAGAAAGAAAGAAAGAAAGAGAGTTGAGAGCGGATCGCGAGCGCGTATAATACCGGACTCACAGTTGGCAGTCTCTCCTCTCGTATCTTCTGCCGCGTTGTTATTTTCCTTGCCAAATTAACACGCGAGAGCCGTACGATTCGTCGAATGATCGCGAACCAATATCAAACTGATTCCGTGCGCACTGATTTTAAGTAATCGTAGCACTGGTAGCAAAGTCACCGTTGATATTTCAGACGAGTTCCGTCCGGCGAGACACGGGTTCCGCGCACGCATACAAAACGTGTCAGCACGTCGCGCGCTTGTTTAGAATATACTGAATATATTTTGACCTGAGCGCTCCGTTCAGGCTCGGCGCTGGCGCTTCGCGCGTTCGGCCGTCATCGGTCGCGATCGGCCGCGCTCGCGCTCCGCGGCCGAACCAACCACGACAGCCTGACCGACCGCGAACGAAACTCGCGCCCTCGCTCGATTGCAAATTACCTTGCAGGGCCGATGCACCGCGATACATGTTTACTGTAATGATAACATTTCCCTCTGTCTCTTTCTTTTTTTCTTTCCGCAGCTCTGAGAATTATGCCACGAGAATATGCTCGCCGAAGAGAGTCTCTGAACAACTCGTACAAACGTTCGAGAAAAGAAAAAAGACAACGAAGCGATACGCGACGCGAAGCGTTGCAAGCAATTCCAACTGCAATTTCATCTGCAGCAGATGCCGAGATTCGATTCGCGTTGGAATTGTTCGATCGATGAAAATTCGATCGAGAAGACGAGTCTTTGATCTCCGTTCCGTCGGTAGGATCGTCAAGCTCTTGCACGCCAGCGTTCGCTAAAACGCAGAGCAACCGATGCATTAAATTAATATCACTGCAGTTGAACGAATGCGGTTGAGGCACGAAGAATGACGGCGTTCGTTAAACGTTAAAATAGAATGTCAAAAAAAAAAAAAAACGAATCGGATCTCGTTCGAGTCGTAGCGCCACTTACCGAGCATCTCGTATAACTAAAACAAAACTGAATTTAATGAGAATCGTTATTACAATCGGCATTACAAGTTCATTTAACCTCCTGAGAAAAAAGAAAAATGTGAAAGAAATAAATGTTAATCGCGTAACATTAACGAGCGTGTGTGGAACGGTTAATCGACACGTGGCCGATTCTGCGATTCCATCAATGCGTTTCGATGACTCGTCGAAAGCGCGATATACGCGCTGTGTTGCCTTTGTACTACAAAAATTCTATCAAGAATTTTAATCGTATCGCACACAAACGCAGCCTGGCTCTCCCTACTCTTCCTCGACATCATCGGGCAAAGGCAACAGCAGTATCGAAGAGCATTGTGGAACATACACTTTCGCATGTATACATTATGCAAATTGATTCCATCGATTGGCCGGTAGACTGTACACAGCCTTGTCGAAGCATTTCGCTAACTCCCTTCTAGCTTCTGCTCTCGAGAACATGGCTATTCCCGGATCACCATTTACCAGACAATTTCTAGAAAATAGCATCGTTCTAGAGCAACCAGCGAAGCGCCGTCCGAATGGGTTACTAGAAAGAACTGCACCAAGTGGCAGATTATACAAAAGACATGCTTTACGACTATTTTCATGTAACGCCACGCTCGTTTGTGATTCCCACACGGCAACGGTGCGATATTCTCGACTTATCTTTTACAACGTTCTGTGTTTTCCTACGTCGACTACAGTTATCTTATTATGTCCGTGATGTTTGTCTAATTTTTCGTTATTAAACTTTTCTTTACGCCGTCTTGTTGCGTAGAGTCAAAAAGCAACGAAGGTGATACGGCGAAGGTAGTATCGATTTTAGCGATTAAAAGCCTGCCCCGCGTGGTCTGACATTTTACGATTAGTTGAACGTCGCATCGGTTACGAAGTTCTTATGGCCTATAAAGTACGATATGACTTAACAGTTATTGCCTCGACAACATTGTAACATTTCCCTGTTGCTGAACATGCAGTGACACATGACATATAAAAAGATCCAACAGCGCGTAACTTAAGACGATGCGATCATACTCATATATTTCGGTGTTACGCGATCAGGCAGAGAGATTCAAGTAGCTACATTTTCAATTATTGTAAATCATTTTTTACGTGCACTCTTGTTTGTTCACTGAAGGTACTAAATATCGTCAACACTCATAAAACATTACACGAAGATAATCTTTCCTACGAGGTATTCGACACGGTTAGTTTGCAGTTGTTCACATCACGCCTTTTTTCCCAAATAGATTCGATTTTTCTATGTTTCTACCTCTACGCGTCTTGAAATAAACTAACCGATATTTACTACGAGTTCACAAACGATTAACGATCGTCGTAATTATCTTAAAAGGTTCGTTCGTGGGAGTTATCGAAGAACCGATTATCGTGTACCGCCTATGGAGAGGTCGCTTTCTTCAATAGCACACAAGCGATTAAAGTAAGTGGACGACGTATAGAGTAAATAGACCAGAAATGCGTATGAAACCAAGGAACCCGCTAAATATAGCAATTCTTATTTCGACGACGATGAAAAGAAAACGGCCGAAAGGAAATAATTTAATTGCCTCATTTTCACGGATGAAAACACGAAAGACGGTGGGAAATTATATGCTCGTGAACGCTCTCTAAACGCATAATTGATCAATAAATTTATTAGCAAATAAGCTCAAAGTAATTTTTACAATGATCGTCGATATTAAGTTTGTTTAATGGCTAATATCTTTTAATCGTTAATGTGAAAGAACAAAAGTATGAAAGGTTGTTTAAATATCCACTGTTTCTCTATTTTACCAAGAGAGGGTTAGTGTACATCGAAGATGGCGTTTTATTCCGTGTTATACGAAAGAAACGTCGATGACACAGTTTCCTGTCTTGCCTCCTTTTCTATTTATCTATCTATCATTCATTTTCCTATCAGATTAGAATAATTTTTGCTCGAAAAATTCAGTGATACCAATGTAAAAAATAATCATAAACATATATCTTCGATCACATTATTATCGACTAAGGACAGAATAGACATACCTACGTACATTACTTTTTCGTCCCTTTACCATTTTTATATCACATACGACGTTATCGACTCAGCATGGTTTCAATTAAAACTGAATGTTTCTAATCACAAATAATTTGTAATTACAAATATTGTTATCTCACTATTATTTATCCATCATGATATACTATCAAAAAATCAAAGTACGACCTATGAAGAATTCTACTATTCATCTATTTTACACTGCTTCATCTTAAATATCACTATAATATCTTTAAATGCTCTAGAAAATTATTACTTTCTAACTGTATTAACGAATGTTCCCTACTAATGTATTTACTCATGTGTTTGAAAATCATAATTTATAGATAATTTATAGTTATTCTATTTGATCACAAATTTAATTTAAATTAATTAAAGTTGTCTGGTAAAAATCCAAAGATTTTTACAAATTCCAACTATACAAATGTCTAAATACAATGAAACAGAACGGCAAGTACTGTATAAAATATCTGTACCTTTTAAATTCTTGAAGAGATATTTTATGGATATCTTGAAATGAATTATATGACTGTTTTCACTGATTCTGTAAGAATTTCTGAAACAAACTTGAATATAAATTAATTCAAACGAAATTGAAATGAACAATTCAGTCTTCGTTAAATTATCATTCTGTAGAAACTTTCAAGCAATTTATAATCAAAAATGCAAAGAATATTCGCGATGTTTTACAATTCAGAACATTGAGACAAACACGACTATTGTTATTCTAACGCAAACCGAAATAATCTTTTGCAACTCTAATTCAAATCAAAATTCAATAGAAGCTTTAATTAATACCGCGAGATCTTGATGACTTTGCGACTCTAATACAAATAATAATTAATTTTTCGAAACACTCAAATAATAAAAAAAAAAAACTGTGATTTATCCAACGATGATGGGCCAATATACACATCGGCCAGAAAAAAGATACTACTTCTACACACTACACGTATTAAAAGCGAGCATAGTGATAAAATAGTAAGAAGAATGACTTTCCATGCTATAGATGGATTTCCCATCCAGAGAATGATAAGCCATTTGTTGCAGCCCTCTTCTATGACAGTTTGTCGGGCCTCTTCTTTTTTTCGAGCGCAATGCCCGCTGAAACTTCTAAGCTCGAGTCGCGAAATTCGAAAAATCGATGGATAAAGCCAGGGATGAGGCATGCTCCACTCATGCCAGCTGTATCTTCGATTTCTCAAATTGCATTTCCAGAAACAGGTTGGACACGCGAAAAGAGAATCAACGCGACCAGAGACTGTGCCAACCTGCCCGGCCCTACCTACTTATAATTAAACACAGGCACACCAGAAAGTAAGCTACCTGTCCTAACCAATCGCCCTATATTTAAAAAATGGCAAAACAAGCACACCAACACACTCGCTCCACGGTTCTCACACATACCACCCGGGCGCAGACCTACACTAGAGAGGACGTCCCGGGACACCTCCGACACCCGAGTTTGGCACACAACTTTCACATTCTAATTTACGTACCATTTTCCTGAAATCGACTGACGAACACTAGCGATCATTGCGACAAAAGTACGCATGCATTTCGATTCTAACTAAATGTATTTCAATTTCAATTTTGATACTTTTCATTGATACTTTCATTCGTAAAATTAATAGTTTATTATGCTTAATAGCGTATATTCTAATTTTTGTTAAGTTTATTAATATTACAAAATTATATCGTTTCAATATAATAGCGAAAGCGACGCAATTTCACAGCCTAACCACACGCACACAAAATGTGAAAAATACGTCGTGCACGATACGCTAACGTTTTATCAGTCGCTGAGAAATTATTAAACTTACTATGATCATCATGCACATTGCCTTTCTCCCACTCAAGTAGCACCTGGGCACGTGAATGAGATCCTGGTAATGAACATGGAAAAGGTTAAACCTGAAAATCCTGAGCTAAAATGATGATTAGCATATTTACTTTGTATCTAACGAGCTAATATTCCTTGACGTTACATTTTCTCATTTTATTTGTTTTTCATTGACTTTACTTTGTAATTTGTTCTAATGATGTAATAAATTATTGAAATATACTAAGATAATAAATATAATAAAAGAGAAATAAATCAACAATGAATATATTTATTAAACAAGAAAATAAGATTTAATGCAAATAATATAAAATGAGTAATAATGAGTGATAATAAATTGTAAGTAAAATATTAATAGAAATATCCTCAGGCAATTTCTCCATCAAAGCAAACTTTCGAAAATATAAAAATAACATTCAAAACCATTGCTTTGATTGTGAAATTTATCTGTCGCGGGATGTGTCTTCTCGCATGTGGAAAGATACATTCTTAGGCGGATAAATTTTTATGTTTCTTTTATGTCTTAAATTCTATTTAAATTGTAGTAAATATGAAAACCAAATAATATAGTAATTTTATATCATCAGAAATACGAATCATTATTAGCATTTCAATTATACTTTATTAGTGTCCAACGAAATCGGTGGGTATCCGATTTCTCCACTACAAAATACTCAAACAATATTCATTTATTAAACTATTCGTGTTTTATCTACTCATACAGATAATATAAATTTATATGGTTACTTTATCTTTCCCATTAATCATGTTGAATGATATTTTGATTTTCTACATAATACAATAATATTAAACATAAAAGTAGGTACTATTTATAACATTATGTCAGTATATTGTACACCTCTGTATATTGTACTATTATTCTCATATTAATTATCAATGCGTTATTATTAGCATTAAAAGACGCGATATGCAAGAAGATCCTAGCCTAAACTAATAAATACATATAAATAAAATATTACTACTCGTGGGTACAACAAATACCCGCGATCACTATGCTCGACAAAAATTCTACGTAATACAACCAGTCACTCGTGTCGATTCGGACCTTTCATCCTACGACATGATTGAGTGACCAGAGGAACAAAAATGCATGCGACTCACGAATAGATGCGAAGAACATCATTCTTAAGATGTGAAATCAGTTCATCATCACGAAGAAAGTTCGTCAATGGACAGGAATCGTTGTATCGTATGAAAGAAATCTGTAGAAAAGCATAAAATATTTTAGTTTTTTTCTTAAAAACAGTGTTAATTATGTGGAAAGTTTTTGAAATAATGAAAGATTTAATTATAACAAACATAAAATTTTACAATATAATATTCAACTGAAGTATAAAAGTCAATTCAAATTTGTCAAATTTTTATTATTAGTAATAATTATTAGTAATAATTATTATTAGTAATAATTAGTGATAATTATATTAAATTTTAAGATAAAAAATTACATGCTTAGATTTGAAGCATTGTTATATCTTTTTCAGAGAACAGGAAAAAGTAAAAATTATGAAAAATTTAAAAAAAAAACATGCGAAATATTATAATTTATTCTGAAAAAAATATTTATTAGAGAAGAGAAGGTAAGAAAAGAAGTATTTTAGCAAAATATTGAGTTCATTAGTTTTAAATATACTTTATACTAATCAAATATGGCGCCCTTTTTCATCGGTTAACGAGCTGCGCAGTACACAAATGACGCGATGCGTAGAACGTTTAAATCTGTCTGATAGCATACTTCCCCGAAAAATGAAACTTTCCTCATTACCTAGTAATAGTCTGTTTAAAGGAAAACCGAAATTTTCAAATAAAAGCATAACCATAACAAATTATACAAAAATCAAGATCGAATGCCGCTTTTAAAGCTCATAATAAGAAGTACTAGTAAGTGGAACAGTCAGAAGAACGATCAAAAAGAAACAGAAAATTTAGCGATAAATTATAATAATATTGTAAATATAGTAATATAAAATGAGAACGTACGTTAAACAAACGAAGTTAATAGCAGCATAAGTATGACTGATGAAAAATGACGATGAACTACCAACAGTTAATAAACATCACGCGAAATAGTACGTCTTGACATTACGATTTTCAACGGTAGACTAGTCCTCTGCGCAACAAGTTCGCGTCGCAATATTTTGGGAGGGGAGGGGATTCAAGTGTGTACGAATAGAATTTGATTGATTCAGGTTGGAAAAGCAAAGCGCCCTATTAGAATATTCGAATAGTAATTACATGTTATATGTATTTATAAATCAATATCAACGCGCATTAATTTTATTTAATAAAATAGAATCGATTAAATTAATAAATATAGCGTTATATTGATTTGAAGTCTGGCTGAGAGTGGCTGACAGTGCGAGTACATATGTAGACATTAATCGCACTGAAATTTGAAATTTTCTCAAAATAATCGTGACTTGATATTGCAAACAGAAGTCTGAAAGTTATTAATTGAAATTTTTACCTGGATAGATGATGTTTCTTTTTACGATGCATACCGCCAAAAACAGACACTTCTATTACACATGTCACTACACATTATGTTACTACATGTAGATCGACCACAAAAAATATCGATTCGATTCAAGATTCGCAATTAGCGGATTCTAATGGAGCTGTAATCTTTACTTAACCTAGAGATATCGCGCGCTCATTATGAAAACACATTATTTAACCATTCGTTTTCACGCAATTATTTTATCGCGTATTTCATTTCGGTATCATGAGAATAATGCATGATTGTCGTAACATAGATAAGCCATTTTCATTATCAAATGTCGAAATTACGTAACCAATTTAGCATGTTCTTTAAATTACATAAAAATAAAATTCATAAAACTTTAAATGTTTTAATTCTTACATATAAAAAATATTTTAAATGAAGATTTCAAGATATTAGATAAAATTTTATTTTAAAGATATACAAAATAATCACAGTGGAACGCACACTTTGAATTATATTCTAATTAATATTGAAGAGATCGTTTTGTTTGTATATCATCTAATATTGTCCTGAGTTCCTCGTCTTCCAATCGTCCTTCTAAACTGGGAATCAAAGCTTTTGCTTCTTCTGGTGTTTCTGGACAGAGATTTGCAAGCGAAGCCAGCTCAAACTTGTGAAGCTTCTTCTGCATAAGTAAACTATAACAAATTTATAATACAAATTTTACAATCTTCTATAAATATGTTTTACTTGGAAGAATAATTCAAGAATTGTTTATTAACAAGTATTCACGTTTCAGTTGTTCTTACTTTCTTACAGCAGCAATAGTTTCTTTATTTTTAAATCGGCGAAATCTGTTTGTGTAAGTCAAACTCTTCATAAAAACTTCAGAGAATTCTTGTTCTTCCTCGGCAGATTCATTCTGTGCTTTTCTGTGCTCCAATAACATCGATACTTCCGAGATTAATAAGGTCTCTGCATTTTCAAATTCTAAGAAAAAAAATTACACATATGATATATTTATTAAAAAATTGGTCAGTATCACACATTTACGTAATTTATTTAATTTATTTCATATTGCTTTAAGGTATACTTTTAATTAAATATCACTCGTTCTAAATTTCAAACAAAACTTTATTAATCATGTTTAATACATTATTATATTATTTAACGTATAAAACATAATCAAAATATTATACATAAATTTACACACATTTATATTATTATGCATTTAATTTTACTATCATTTTCAATATGTATACTCACTGTATTACTTTAGTCAATTTTTACTTGAAATTCTTAATTGTAAATCTTAATATATAATATCACAATCTTGACAGAACTGTAATGTACAAAGATCTGCTATTTTTGCTAAATTAACTGACTATATGTCATAGATTCGATTTTATATATCCTTTTTCCGTAAGAAAGTCGTATATTTTTCGTGTTTTATTTACATCAATTTTAAGCAAAACCCTAGCTTGTGCCAATCTAAGATAACCCGCTTTTTTATTTTCTGCTATTAAGATGTGTTTGAAATCAAGATAATTAGAGGGAACTAGACGCGTAGCTGAACAAAGTTCTTTTTCAGCTGAAGTTAATTTCTCATATCCTGGAAGACCTTTAATCACAAGTGGCGGTGCCGTTTTTCGTTGCGAGATCGCACTTGATATGGAATTATTAAAATTAATGTTGTAACCAGGTAATATAGTCTTCAAACTATATTCAGAATTATTTAAGTATTGTTTCCTTTCTTTTTCATTTTCTTGTTTAAGTTTATTTAATTTTTGGAACATTGGAACACTGTGAAAGTGTTTCAAACCATTATTGCGAAATTCAAATAATTTATTCAGATAGTTTTTAAGTTCTCCTGCTCTGTGTAAACCTTCCATAAAATAGTCAAATTCCATACCTCCTAATAATTGCATAAAAATTAATAATCTTTCCGCAACTAATCTAGTTATTGTGCTCTCATATCTCTGTATCCAAGATACAGTTCTCCTAAATGCTATCAGTCCATGATTACGTATGATTTTTCTCCTTCTCATACGTTCTTTCAGTCTGTTGTTATATGCTTGTACTATAGCTACTTTTAGTTCTGTTTCTAATTCATAATTATCATCATTTATGTCAAATTCATCATAATTTAAGTCAGAAATCAATAATTCAGCGTGATTATCGAAATTAACTTGAAAATCTGACCTTGCTGGATTGTATCCAGCCAGAAGCTTACAATTAAGAGTATTAGGTGCAAATCGAGGAGGTTCTTCTATATCTTGCAATTTAAATGAATAAGGAATTACTTCACAACCAAACAAACTTGCTCTTGTTTCTGCGATTTTTGGCAATCCTGGTAGAGTCTGATTATCAATATAATGTTGGAGATAATGATTTTTACATTCTTCTGGCGATTTCCCCTGTATTCGTTTGGCCACATCAACCCAATTGCCAAAACCACACTCTTGTAAAACATCTAAACACTCTAGTTCTTGTTTCGCTGTCCAGCCACTTTCATCGATCAAGGGAAATTCATTCTTTATGATGATATAGTCGTGATCGTTCCTGTGATTACCAATTTCTGATCCATTAGAGAAACAAGAGGGACACAGTTCCATTTTATTACATACGGCACAACGAATATACGGTTCCGTCAATACAGACTTGCATATGCGGCACATTGGGTCTGAAGTAATGATTTCATCCTTCACGACTGACGAGTTGAATTCTACGTTACGCTCGATCTTTTCTGTTCTACTTAATGAGCAGTCTGAAAGAGGATAATCGTTACCTTAGGCCAACCCGCATAATTATACATTATTTTTAAATTGTAAATTGTTAACGAAGAAAACATTGACAAGCGTCGTATGATTATAGGTTAGAGACAGGCAACTGCCGACTCCATCTTTTCGTTGTTGAAGCAAATGAAAGAACATACCTTTTGGAAATTGCAAGTCCGCCGCATCTTCTTCCGTCATATCAGTTAAATTCGGATTAGCCATATTTTCTTCTTACTATATCAATTATCTATGTTATACGAAGTGACTACGTCTAAGTGTTTAATACCAAACAGCGTTGCCATTACGGCGTTGTCATTATGGCAATTAACTCAAGTCATACGTGCTATGATTACCAGATGGCAGTTCCATAGCCATGTACTTGGTCGGTAAATCCTTTAAACCTTTCGATCGTAGCGCCACTGTTTTAAATGTGACGTTTAAATCAATTGCTACATGAAGAGCACAAACGATTTAAGTATTTCAAATATTTTGCATCTTTAGTGTCCCGCGTAATTTATAAAAGTTAAAATAGTTTTCCATTTAATGAATATACAAGCTTAAAAAGAACGTCAGTAATGTATGTCAGCTTGGTCGTAAACACTAAACGAAGAACATGAAAATTCACTTTCCAAACACATTAGGTACGTATGTTATCTAAGAACGTATCGAACCTTGAGAACGATGGCAGTATTACGAACATTGCCTGAATATATAAAATCGTAAAGGCCTCAAGTAAAATTGTATGTCTCCTGAATACAGAATTAAACAATATGATTATATATCAGAGTGATTAATATGCGTACTGTACTATCTTTCAAATCAAATAGACACACGTACATATGTAGTAGTCACACGGGTACAACGTCCTTGAACCAAATGATCGTAACAAAAACCACGAAATATCCTTTTGACTAAACTCAATATGTGTGTGTTCTATTATATCCGTGGAGAACAAGTTTTAAGTAAGAACAAGAAAATTTTATTCCATATAATTAACATAACTGAAATTTCATAGAATAAATCGTGAGTAAATTTAAATTTTCTTTAATTTTCTCCAAAAGATAGTAGTAATTTTAATTTTCTTACAAAAACGTAATTGTAAAACTCGATACTCGCTTATTTATTTCTTCAGCTCCTGATTTTGTTTAAAGCAAAGTAAATACTTTATCGTATCTAATCTAATGTAAAAGAAATAAGCGTATCTAGTAGTGACTACAACAAATTGTTGTTACATCAGAAAAATATTAGATAAAGGAAGTCATGTGAACGAGCTCGCCTACGTTACCTTTTACAAAACAAATAATGCTTGTACGCGTAATCATTTCATAGTACACACACGTATGTGTAGTTTCTCTCAAAACATATAGTTTGCAAAAGAATAATAATAAGTCGCCTACGAATAATAGTAGAGTTAATGTGCAAATATTGGTGTAATAACATCGTGAAGGCAATGAGAATTTTTAATGCTTTGACTTGATCACATTCCACCTGTCATATCCTTCCAAAGTCAATTGTAAGGTCGAATTTAATTTACATAGTATTGAAATAATTAGCGAGATTTAAATTAGAAAATAAGCATAATAGACATTATGTTTACAGAAATTTAAATTAGAAAATAAGCATAATAGACATTATGTTTACAGATTCTAGAAAAGTGACCTATTTAGCCGGAAACTGTCTCTTGTGGAAGTATTCAACTTCAAACAATTTAAATTATCTGTGACAGCATCTAAAAGGAATATTTCATGGTAATTATGCTTGGTATTCTTAATATACGATTTGAAACATTTGCTGTTTAATTTAATTGAATGCACTGAATCTAGAAATTTAATTTACTAAGTTAAAGGAATTTGAGGATTTATTGAATTCATTTTCAATGCTTGATTTATCGTCCAAAATAAAAAAGCAATGTGCTAAAAAATTAACATATCTGTTCAATGCTTTTCAATTTGGCTTGCGTAATATTCGCGTAACGAAAAGGAAGATAATCGTAATTCTTCTGTCAATTTGCGTTATGATTATTAAAATGTCGTTTAACCTTGGTCTTCATACTCTTCGTAAAGGATTTCGCTTCGGACAATAACTTCGTTTGCAGCTGTCGTATTAAAGTGAAAAAATTCATATCGCGCGTTTACTGTGAGTGGAAACCGCTAGGAGTGGAAACCGGTTTCACTAAAATTTTTACGAGTCAACTGACCGAACTAAATCAGAGAACTTATCGCTTCATAAAGTATCTTGTTTTTATCTCTCCAGAGAAAAGTGCCTAGCGCTCCAATTTCCATCTGGAAAATTTTCCTTCTTTTATCGAATAATGAGAATCCTTTCTAACATCGTAATAAATAGTTTGCGAATTCAATCACATATAATAAATCGAACGTTCCATTCGATTACGTATTTTATGTTCAGATGAGACATACATATCGAGAAAATTGCACATTTATAAAGTAATACTGGTTGTAATACTCTTTCATTCATTTCACAATAATTGTCTACAAATAGGAGTGTAATAGAGAAATTATCTCTAATTATCAACTGATTTATCATAAATCTTGACATAATGACATAATTTACGAGATATCGTTTAATCATTTAACGTATTCAATACCTGAAACCGTTTCACCAACGATTTTTATTGTTTGTAACAGTTGCGTATCGTAAACGTCGATCCTTACTGACAGACTCTTACATTGCGCTCGATTTTCTTACAGAGAAAAAAAGAAGTTTGACGAACGTGAATTTACACGCGAATGAATAACAAGCTGAACGAAAATCCCCATATGTCACAAAACAAAATGAACATCATCGCGAATAATACCGTTTTGTAGGACGCGAGCACAATTTTAGACGACCGTTCGACTACAACAAACCCATCAAAACTCTTTTAAAACACGGACAACGCATCTATATAGTGATACAACGACCAACTATGTACTAAGAGTCCTCGAAGAATTGACTCAAACACGCTGAAGTGCGTTTCTTTCCACGTGATCACGGTGTGATTTCCGTATTCGCGACTTGGACGATCTTTCCACAAACGAATAATGAATCCTGAGCAACCAGACTTCTCAAATGCAAGAACACTGCACTTTCGTACTCACGATGATGGTGATAATGTTAAGGAAGAAAGCAGTCGGTCGGACCGAGGGAAGATCTATGACAACGTTTATAAAATGACTACTCTGGACAGGTACGTTTTATCAAATCAATAAAAAACCTAACGAGAAAATAGAAAAATGGAAATTGTAAAAAAGTTAATGGAAATATAAAGCAAAGGTACATTTTAAGTTAACATGAGAATCCAATTTCTTGATTAAAAATATTCTCTATGTACTGAATCAACGATGAAGCATGCTTATTTTTTTTTATTATTTCATTTAGTTCTATAAGGGTGGTCATCGATATTATTTGATTGGATTCTTGGAAAAGAGATAAATAACACTTGAATATATGGCAAAATAATGTGAAGGCAAAAGTAAATATTAATTAATTTATAATTAATCTTCATTTTTGGATAAATAAATTAAACAATTTTTAATATTATTGAATATCATAATTATATATATATCTAAATAATATACGCTTATATAAATGTATTTTCTATTAGGTAGATCCATGTAATAAGTCCATAGTTGTTTCGTTATATTTTTCATAAAGTTCATTTTAACCTGAAGCAACTTTCAGGAGAAAGATTTAATTTTGTAAGAAAAATTCGACAATTTAGAATACCCATTTAATAATACGTTTCTTGTAACTGATGTCGATTCATGCAGTTTTTCTATATTGAACTATATATGCACATACATGTGTATGTACTTACATATGTAGAAACGAGTGATACATGGATAAATGATACGTCAAATAACAGTGATCAACGGTGAAAAATATGTTATTGTTTCCAGAATTTTCCATTATTTTTATATCGTTCCGACATGAGATATGAAACAGAAGCGTTTGCTTCTGACAGAGCTACCGAAACAATAAGAATTTCTATTTTCTCTAGTTTTAACAAATAATACGAAAGGTAAATGCTATCCTTCAATAAAAATACTTCAATTATAGAATATTTAGATTAATTTAAAACTCGTGTAATCGACAATAGTTTTCGATTCATCTATTTTAGGATAGTCAACGAATAACCATTAAATTATAAAACCATTAAAAAGTCAGTCGTGCTGGCGAGAAAAAAAATCTTTTCTTTTCGATGCACTCTATATGCAAGCACGAAAATTCCAAGTAGAATTCGGATTTGTTTCTTTTCCTTGACCCCAATTTGTGAAAGAAAAAGAAAGGTCGAAGTTTTCGAAAAGGTTATCGGACCTTTTACGATGCATTTATGACTTCAATTTACCTCATTAGCATCGCCTTCGGCATTTCTATATAACGGAACAACCGGCATGCAGAAACAACCAATGCGTTCGAACACGAACGGTGCAACTTGCATTTTATGACTTGGTTTATGACGTTACATAGCCTCGTTTCCGCCGACAAGCAAAAAATGCCCGTAAATTCGGAATTAATTATTTCTAACGAGTCACCAATGTTGATTCAAAGTTTATTCGTTTGGGTTCATTTTCCTTTTCCTAGCTTAAAATCACAAAGCAAGAAGTTAAAACGTCAATATTTCTACGATATTGTATTTGAAAATAGCGTTCCAAGGACTGAGTACAGATCTTCTTTTTTAAAATATCAGTTTGACACATCGCTAGACTGCTGCTTCCATTCCTCTCCTCTCGATTCATTTCTCTTTGTTAAAGACTTATGCTGAGTCACATCTTTGAAACGATTGAAAAAAGAAAAAAGGGAAAACGCTTCTACGAATGATTTGCCAAGAATTTCTTCAATCGATCGTCGAAAACAGTCTCATTTAAATGCAACGAAGATTACGCCTGACAGAGCTCGGTAACAAGTTGCTTCTTATGCAAATGCGCGGTAATTAATCAGAAATAATTAATTCCGAATTTACAGGCATTTTTTGTTTATCAGCGGAAACGAGGCTATGCAGTGTCATAAACCAAGTCGTAAAATGCAAGTTGCATCGTTCGTGTCCGAACGGCATTGGTTGTTCCGTTATATGGAACGGAATGATGCGTTTGTAGATTCTCATTTGCTTGTTTGTGACAAGATTTATTTCGATTGTAATTATTACTTATGAAAGAAAAGCTACTGGTATTGGTAACTTGTGAATTCCAAAAATCTATTGCGGAAATCGCGAGCGATCGCGCGGAGTGCTTACAGAATCTTTGAGCATTGTGCATCTAATCCCGAATCTGCGTTCGATCGTTCGATTGCTTCGTAAACATCCTAGAACGACGATCCACGTGGCGGTCGCCGCGTTTGATTATTAGGCACCGGAGATGCGAATGAATATTCATGGCGACGTCGAGCGTTGCTGGATTCACGGTGGATTCACACCGGCGAGTCCCTACTCTTGCGCTTGAACGACGAAATTACGCGGTCCGAAACGCAAATTGTGAGTTACATAAGCAACAAGCGAGTCAATACCGAAGCACTTGTGAGAAACTGTGAAAGTGAAACAAATAGCCGAAGATCCTTCGACTATCCTGTTAAATAAGCTTGTTAAGCTGAAAATGAATTGTTTCTTAATCGTTGGCGTAGTGGTACATAGTTCTGACGACCATCGAGTTTTTTATTACTGACAATGTACCTCGTATGGGATATAACGTTTAGAACAAAAGATACCGTGAACAGAAAGTCCATAGTTGTTAAAACAATTCGTGTTTCTTCTACCATGAGTTTACATTCGGAATAAAACCTCTTGACGAAACATCAATATAGTTATCAGTTGTAAGTGGTCGAAATTGGATTGGCTTGTAATTTCTAATAAATGGAAATATTTCTAATCTAATATTTTTAAGATTTATTGTGTTGGATAACTATAAAATTATCTATATTGGTTAATGCCAATGTTATGAAACGTTCTTCTCATAATTTAAATAATTTAAACGAATTGATGGTTTTCCTATCGATACCTATCTATACGAATCCTATCGTTACTTTTTATCGCTCGATCACTCTTTACATAACGAAATATCCAATTTCCATAAAATATATTATCCGGCAGGATATTTCACATCGATCGGATGTGGTGTTTTTTTAAAGATTATAAGCTTCTCGCTCGTCAAATACGATAACTGAATTCATTTATCACCGACGTATTTCCATTTTCCTTTATCAATGACACATCCGTTGAAAAAGTTTCAATTTTCTTGGGAAAGTGATTGAATTACAGTTAGATATCTGATTGGGTTCGAATGAGTTTGTGCCCATTCGTTCGGTTAAATCAAATATTTATTAACAGATGCAAAGATAACAGATATAAATATAAAAGATAAGAATTCAAGTTTATAATATCATGAAATTGAGTATAAGTTCAAATCCAAGAAAATTCAAGTAACAAACTTCAAAGTCCAAATCAGAAATTCAAGTTCAATGAGAAGACTTAGAAAAAGTTCGAGGTCCCTTCCGAGTTCCTAGGAAACTTCAATTTTTGAAAGGGAATCTAAACGTGCCAGTGTGAAGGGAGGGGTTTTTCCAAATATTCAAACTGCTTCGTCTAGTACTAAAAATTCAGTTCAGTTTGCTCGTGGATTTACGATGGTCACTCGGTTATTCCGAAACTCTTCCAAATGTTGAAATTTGTGAAGATTTTATGCACACGTATATCTCTCATTCTAACTTACTTTCCACTATTCTTTGCAATCTCAAGAACAGCCAAAATCACGCACGTGGTCATAAAATTAGTCTGGAAATCCCTATCCTTTAGATTGCTTGTTCGATGTATTGTAGCAAAAGTCTAGATGGCGATATGCCAGGTTCATTAGTTTTCCAGCCAATGAGATTCTGTGGCAGCACCGGCTGTGATTTATCATCGATTTTGTGTGCCTCTGACACCGAAATCAGACAGGTTTAAAATTAGTTTCACGATGAAGTCCTCGAAATTGTTTCTTTTTGAACTATCGTTCGATTATGTATATCCGGATTTGCATGAATACAAAGATCATTCGAGCTTTCACATATTTCCATTCGAAAGAAATCCCAATGCGATATATCCTTCGCTGTTGTTACTATTTTCTGACTTCTGATATAAATTATTATAGAATCTACAAGGAGACAAATTCGGGTTTAGATTTCTCTTTCTTCGAATGAAAAGCTAAATCATACAAGACTAGCAACAAGTTTAACATTCGAATGGCTACCACCCGTGATCCAGACGAACGTATTACTTTCTTTCAACACGATGTAACGATCTGAAAGATGAAGCAAAACAGCTTCGATCGAAAGAAGAATGCCATATCTTCGATAAAACGGACACTGCGACTTTAGTCTAACGGGATAACCTCGATAAACTTTAGCTGCCACGTTGTTGTAAAGCCACTCCTGGTAACTTCGCGTTTCGCTTCTGCATGTGTATCTCACTCAGTGAGTACGTAAACCAGGCTGTCTTTGATAATCCAGGCAAGCGTAATCGACTCGATTCGACTTATCCCAATTAAAGACAGGTTCTGATATGAATGACATTGTTCAAAAGTTGTTCATTGGTTCGCTCACGCGTCGTGTAAACGATCAATCCTTCATGCGAGTGATTGGTTTCTTCTTTCTTTTACGTATCATTCTATCTAAGTTCTACGAAATCTCGTTCGGATGACACGAACGATGTCGACCACACTCCACTTACGTTCTACATCAGTATCAGTTCGAGATCATAATGAGCGTTAATTACGAATGCACGACGTTGCCTCGCGATCATTAAACGCCACTCGAACTCGCTGACAGAAGTTTCCCTGTACCGTAGGATCTACGATCTGTTTCAGATTCGTTGACAGATAGTTAAAAGTAGAGCGTCGAACTTGGGCAACACGCCCAAGCGGCCGAGTCTCTCGCCTTTCGTAAACGTTACGCAAAAAGAGTTGCCCCGTTCGAACGACCACTTCCTGTTATCGAACGCGAACTCCTTGGTAGCTAATCGACTTCGCGTATCTCCGGGCTAATTACATTACGCGAGATAAACCCGACTCCCGCAGCCTTTAATTTTCTAAGATTCTGTGCCACACACACACACGTCGAGTCTCGTGCAACGGTACCTCTCGAGTGTTCTCGAGAATCACGATTCTTCCCAATAATCACGTGAACGCAAATCCGGCTAACACGTACTGTGCATCAACCGCG